AAGTGTGGGAAACACGTCGCTGAGGTCATGAATATATTGTGGCCTGACTTGTAGCGCCCCGAGGCTCCCCTAGAGACGAGAAAGGACAAAATATTTGAAAAGAACAACACATATTACCTGTGAACGTAAGGACTGAGAGTGGGAAGGGTGAGGCTGCTGGCATGGCTCGGAGGACAGGCCAACCAGTGAAGGCCTAAGTAGGCCGCTGCCAAAACCGAGCATTAAACAAGCGAAGAAAGTACTAGAAGGTTATCCAGATCAACTTTTGGAAATTATTAACGCAAATGGTAAGTCAATTTGTTTGTACATATTTCGACTTGCAGATCATGGTAGAAGCTAGGCAAATGTGTGACATACATCAAGTGTTGGTAATAGATGAGAACATGCCAAAGGGACTATCCCTTTGCTTTTCACTTCCATCATGAAGGCTGCACAATAGCACCTTCCAAGAAGAATACGTTACTGTCTCACCAACTGACTTGCGATGACAAATGACTTTCTCAGCTATGACAAACTAGATTGAACTGGACATATCGGCAATTGTCCTTTTGAGGAGGTCCACTCACGTCACGCTTCCATTACTTTATCATCATAATGCTACCTCCCTATGTGTGTGCGTGTGTGTTTATTGGTGCACACGGTCGTACACATTGTGGTAAATTTTGGACAAGCACGTCACGCATCTGATTAGCCTCAAACTTGTCACCTCCGGCAAATAGCGGAGTCATCACAGAAGGTATCATTGTGGTACACGAGTCCATAATCAGCCTTTCTGCAAGCTGGGCGACTAGTAGTGTGGTAGGCGAATAGAGGGAGAATGGAAAGGACTATGGAGTGGCAAATGCAAGTGCGTTTGAGGACTGCTGATTCTATAAAAGCAACAAGAAAACTTCCACATTTGTGCACTCAATGCAGTGTCAAACCGATGTCACAGAGTTTTCGGGATGGATACATTTACCATTACAGCTGAACCAACACCTCCTCCATGATGAGTCTGCTTACATAAATATCAGTATCCCTGTTGCCTGCCATCTTGAACAAGGGTCTTTGAATTGGACCACTTCATATCATGTGCAACGACCAAAGCGAGCGGTAATGGGACGAGCTTACCACTTACCACTATGGGAGCAACTCTCTCCGTAGTGGCAACATCGCAAACCTCTTTCCACCTCAAACACATGTAGGAACACACACTCCAAGCCATCGCATTTGACAGGATAGGGTTGAGTCGTCTCATAGCACAAATAAGGTCACGGTGGAGGGCTGCATAACTTTCTGTTGTAGGCTTTACACACATTACGATGACCTTTTGAAGCTGCAACCTCGTTCAGACATTGAGACACGAAAAGGTAAATTAGAAGTGAACCGTAAAGCATGAACACTGGGTAAAGTGATGAAGGAGAGGTGTAGCAAACAAGAGACAAATGGGGCAAGTTTTACAATTCATAGTTTACCTAAGAAGACAACGAAACTTCACCAAGCGTCATCAACGCATTTGTTAATAGTCAGTGAAAAGTTTTCAATTCTCAGGAAATAAAATAATGAAATCAAAAGCAATTCCCATGCCTCCCTAAGTGAGGCAAGAACTTGTCGTGGATGAGGTTACCGCAGAGTAGTAGCTCTGCCCTTTGCCATCAAATAAAAACTTGCCAGTGTTGGTGAAACCTACTTACCGTAGAAGTACAAAGCAAATACGAAGATATTTGAGAAGTTCTTTGTTAGAGCGATAACGCGGGAACGTGTACAGTGGAGAGGGAGAGAACAAACACAAAGGTCATCAAAGTAAGTAATTGAGGAAGAGTGAGAACAAGCCCTATATCGTGTTATTTTCCACAAATACTCCAAATGAGTCCATTTGACTACGTCTATTGTATTTAAATATAATATATTGTAATTCAATGCAGCAGTGATACAGGATGAGCAACTAACGACTGCACAACCTCATTACAAGAGAAATGCCTTGACTTCGGAGCATTTATGAGCTCAACAACTCTTCCGATGGTACTGAGGTAGCCTCTACTTGTATATGCGAAACACTTCCTCAATGTCATGGCGATACAAATACAGGCTGAAGAGAGTTACGTGGATTGGTTTGCTCGTTCGGCGAGTCTTTAATTGTCAATAGGAAGAATATTGTAAAATTCAAACTCTCATTCTCTCATGTGATGGAAACGATAGGTGAGGCTTTAGACACGAATCAAGAGAAAGTGAAAAGACCAAGATATTTGTAGAAGAGAGGGAAATGGAGAAAAGCCCACCCAAGCACCTATGAAATGTGGAAGAGGAATGCGCGAATCCGTCCATCTGGCCACAATGAGCCACTCCTCGTGAACAGATGCGGGTGGGACTTACAAAATTACCGAACATGTTGTTACGTTTTGGACAATAAATTATGAAACTAAAAAGTGCCCCTGAACATGCTTCACCTGTTGAAATAATCATCAGGTGGACCTTAAATCCATATGTACACTCCATCAAGACAGGCTTGCCATTTAGACCTCTAAGGAATGGGTTTCAATCTCCCTCAAGTTGAATGGGATGTGTGATAATAATTTGGAGAAATTTGGGGGTAGTAAGGAGATGGAATGGCCCACTATCATCCTGTCTAACCAAAGGAAACCATCTTACGAGTCAGTTTGAAGGCAGCATTAGACCCTGCATGGTGTTGCAATGAAGGTATGATGGCAATTGGACTTGTATGGAGATAACTCTTCTCTATTTCGTGCATGTTACTGAGCAAAAACGGGATTTCGATTCTTTTAAACAAGAGTGTGGTGGCAGGAAAGTGTTTGAGCTGGATGTTGAAGGTGTGGTGGGGCGTATGGAGCCAACACTGCGAAGGGATGAAGAGTTACAAATTGGAGCAATGAAAAGCGGTGAGTTCTAGTTCGCATTCCTATGCATTCATATAGCCCTGTCGATGATGCATTAAATCCCAATTTTGTACTTCGGATGTTGGCTTATATAGACACACTAACTTCATCTAAAATTGTCCAACTTCGGATGATAGCATGCGGCGGTTTTACCATCTACTCGTGAATTGCCACGGCAATTGTCATATCAGATGTCCAAAAGCAAGAGCAGGATGCAGTGTTGTGCGCCATTTAGAAGAGATGAGGTAACGGATGAAATTACAGAGGAAAAGTGCAAATAAACAAGCAGAATGTGGCAATGAGTTGAGTCAGGCGAAGAGGAATGCACCAAATTCAAGAAACCCCACTACTGCTCCTGGTAATGTGGAAATACACGTCAAGATCCAAATTGCTGTGCCTCAAGACCTTCTTAAATACGGAGGAGGATATAATAGTTGGAGAGAATATGTGGTACCGACGTAAAGGACTTGGAAACCACTGGTATATCCTTGAGGGTAGGCCAACGGGAGGAGGCCTAAGCACCCCATTACCAAATCGGATAGTTAAAAAAGCATTTAAAGTATTGAAGACTGTCTAGATCATGGCAGAAGCTAGGCACATGCTTGTCATATGCCATGCGTCAACAACAGTGGAGGACATGCTTGGAGCCTACTGACCGGCGACTTGAAATGACTTTCGCTTTTACTATGAAGCTGTGGTATTGAACGTATCAATACATTTTGTTGAGGTGTTATTTGAAATGATATGGACGGTTCAATATACCATTGTGATGGAAACCAAAACGTCGGAAATGAAAGATACTGCGTATTTACATCCCAATACTCAATCTTATTTACGACATTTTCGATAGTTGCTCTGGTAAACTGTCTATCTCGATATCGCATGTCACTCTATAGTCTCATTCAATGTCTAAACATATTCGACCTCAGAAGGTTAACCATTTATCACGCTTTTTCTACTTGTGTGCCTCATGTTTAGTCATTCAATTTTGTTTGTCCTAATTACACTGTTATACGTAAATTGTTAGTTCGAATCTCGGTTTTGGTAGCCGCTTAAGTAGGGACTAACACCAGTGGGCGGCGTAGCCTCTGAACCAAGGCGGTAGCCACTCATTCCTTCTGTATGTCCGTAATGTACATTCTGCCCTTGTATTAGTGCACTGAGACTTCCCTGAAAAGGAAGAGACGTAATACTTGAGCAGAATATGTAGAGTTGATATGCAGTAGGTCTGGAGTCTACTGGCATGGGCTGAAGATCAGGTTGTCAGTCGAAGGTACAGTGGCGGAGCAACTAAGTGGCACCTCTACCAAAACCGAAGGCTAAACTAACGTTCAATGTACACATAGCTCCTATCCCGTATTGAGTATAATCCACGGCACCGTCTTTGGTCAACGTCCCCGTCGGCATTCACAAAGCAATGGGTGCAGTAAGGAATCACCCACGAGTCAAACGCACCCGTCATCGAATTTCTGTACAACTGAGGTTATACTCGACAGCAATGTCACCGATACCTCTAGGCGAATGCATGAAATCTGAAACTTTTGTGGAATTGTGAATGTGTTGG